GACCAGCTGAGCTTATGGCAGGTCTTTAACGAATTTATTATATTTCGCTAGTGAGAAGAAAAAGTTTTTTTATGAACAAGACCTCATCTCGCACGAAAATCGGGCGCAGCCTAAGCCAAGCAGCATCGCATAACTCCATAGACGTAAATTCGCTTATAACACCCCGCTTGGGAGCACTTACTACTAATTATACAACCTCTTATACGCTCAAGTACGAAGGGTTGCATACCGAGTCCCTGAAAGCGTGATTGTTAAAGGTTTTTGGAGAGGAAAATGCTCGTTTAACTCTAAGCTAATATTAGGCGAAGAATGTCGGGCAGAGGTTATTTAACTATATAACTACCATTTTTAGTATTTTGAAATGTTTTTCGGACAGAAAACTTTTCGCATACGAAATGCATAATTTTTGTTATTGTTGTCGTGAGAAGTTTGCGAATTATGCTATTTGGGAATTTACAAACAAAAATTACACTATATTTTACTTTTTCAAAGTAATTTGCCTTTAAATTGAGGTTATTAAAACAAAAGGGTACAAGGTGGTATTTAGGGGAAACTCTGCACGCAAATCGTCAGTCTTCTAAAAAAATTTTCCATCTTAAGAAAAAGAAATCATCAAAATTAACCACAACTTTTCATGAACTAGGCTCTTTAAAGGGTTTATGCTCCTACATTAAGCATATTTGAATCCAATTTGAAAGGTTATTACTTTTAAAAACATGCTATATAAATACTTTGAACAATCAGTTTGTGTTCGATGAAAACTACTTAAGATTAATTGCAACTGGTAAAAAATCAGTAAATGAGCAAGGCGGGTTCTGAAGATATTACTTTAAAATCTGCCGCTAGATGTCGATACCTGTCAAAGCGAGAACATGAAGAAAACATATTTCCTAATGATTGGTTCGATTCAAACGTAAAAAAAATGTTTAGCTATAAAAACATGTTTAATAGTATTGTCAAAAGGACACTATCGTCCACCGATAGAGAAAGAGGTTATACCAAATACCAATTACATCAGGCATGTAGAATTGAAGTCGAACGTCTCTTAAAAACCGAATCAGGCGATTGCGCATTGAAATGCGCATTGCGCAGGGTAGGACTGATACATTTAAACATAATTCGAAAATAGTCTTCTTTTAATTACACAATTAGAACTAATAATCTTAAAACTTCATGATATAATTGAAAGAAATTTCTAGTATACAACTTTTTTTAGTTTTAAGATATAAATTAAGTTAACATATAAAAAAAGTTAAAAGAAATATCATTTCATTTGAAATAAGTGCAACAATGTAAAACAATTATATTTTTCAGTAAAAGATCTGGCATTATGTAATTAAACAAAAACTTACATGCTTATTAAAACAAGTATTCTGTATTATCTACATGAGAATGTTGAATTCCACTGTTACTTAATAATGCTTTCATGTGAATAATATTTACAATTTGTTTTAGATGCACAACTCTCTTTTCGAGATGTTTGTTCTTTTCTTCTGTTTGTTTTTGAATTTTTCTTGATGAAATCTTGATATATACACAAGATAAAAGGATTATTGGGCAGATACTGCAAAAAAATGAAAAGAAGCCTAAAGGCAAACCGTAGACAAGTGTTTCTTACTATTGGTCTTCATCAGTACGGTGCAGCCAAGTTCAAAAGAGAATGGAACTAGCGATGAAATCAAAATAACAGGGGATCACTCAAGGAGCCAACCACACATTTGTGGCCTCGGCTAACATTCCCAGAGCTTACTGGGATGCATCACCATGGTGGCTATAACTGCCTCCGTGGCGACGCTAATATTTTCCTATATTGAGGTTATGCCCTCAACCAAAATTATTCATTAGATCCTTCTTCCTTACGTCAGGGAACACTGCGAGCATTTGTGAAGCCCTGGTGATCTTACCACCCAAATTAAGGACAACAAGGACATTTAACTAGTAAAAAAGGTTTTTCTGATGGTTCAAATTTCTTTTTTTGGAAGAATTATCTACGATATATATATAAACAATTAAATTTTGTGTTTTCCAAAACTGCGTTCTCTTAACTTATGCAGTTATGCTCTGTAAGAGATTAGTTGATTGAGTGAAAATATTTCAGGAAAAATTTCAGAAAATTTCGTTATTTTATAACCTAATTTGTATTAATTGTTCCCAACTCTATTCTTTAAAATAAAGTAATTGTAATTATCAATTTTTAAAAATTTGGAGAGGGCGCCAAAGTGATACGTAACTCGGACTCTCGAGAGAGAAAAAGCTGCGACCCAATTATTTTTGTTTGCTAGCTCAGCGGAACTTGATTCAGAACCACTCTTCAATGCCACTAGTAACAGAAGAACCACGGATGTCAAATTACCGCGATCCTATTTGTTGAATAAATAAAAAAAAATAAAATTCTTCAAAACCAAAAAACTTGATTATTTTAGAAGATATTTTGTATCTCTCTCGAATAAAAAGAGGAAACCCATATCAGTTCACGTTTGGTGTCCCTTCCAAATTTTTTAAAATCGATAATTACAATTACTTTATTTTAAAGAATAGAGTTGGGAACAACTAATACAAATTAGGTTATAAAATAACGAAATTTCCTGACATTGATGTAACAGTAAAATTTACTGTTACAATTTTTTTAAATAGAACAACTTGTGATTTTTAAGCGATCTAGCGATCTAGATAGATAGGACCGGATGTGGCCTAAACATCTTGTACTTCAAGCGGGAGATTTGAGTCTACGTGATAAGCTGATATTTTTATTTTGGATAGTATGAGTTTGATACAGGTTATGTTTTTGCTACTGCCTTGTTTTTTAAACAATCAGATTTCTAGTAAAAACAAGAAGTTGGCAGATATCTAATTTTCTACAGTTTCGCCCGGAATTAATATTAAATTAACAAAAGAATAAACCAGCAAGTCGGCAGTGAGCGAAGACAACCAACTAATCATCAAGTTTCAGAAACTACTATTGTATCTAATTTGGCGAAAAATGAGGAAGACAGAACGGCTCATTAATTCCAAAATTCGATTTGAATTCCTAGCGAGTTCATCTTTCACGTGGAGAGATAATGAGAGAATTCCGGCGAAGAGAGAAATGTATTACCTAATATAAGGATATTGTCTTTTGGGGAAAATTTAATTGTAGGATTCCGAGCAAGCCGGAATGAATAAGTGATTAGAAAGTGCACAGATGTTGCCGGCGCATCCATTCAGTTTATACAAACTCCCCATTTTGCTCTCTCTATTCGTGTCTCCTATCCGGCGCGGTGCTCCTGTTTTATTCCCCTCCCCGCCGGCTTTCGTCCCTTGTCTTGCATACATTGCCAAAATGTCACGAAATCGAGATGGTTTATTAGCTTTGACGTTACGCCGACTCGTACGAGACCTTCTGTCAGCGCTGCACCTACAGGGAATAGTGTGAACGTACGGCGAACTGTACGACTTTAACTTTTAATATTTTATAAATTGTTTTAAATCACTCTTCTCTCGTTAGATGTTTTCAGAAAGCCAGGAAGCCCTAAAGGCCCTCAGCTCCAATTGAGTTGACTCAAAGCTGGTTTGGAACGGTACAAATAATCGTAAGGAATCGAATCCAAGTTCATAGGACCAGAACCATTCCTGGGTATTGCAAATAGCACTGTCGAAGAAATTATCTCAAAATAGACGGAAAACTGGAGAGATGGCTTATGGCGTTTATACCCAACCCTTCCATGAACGCCTCTGCTCAGATTCGGGAATGGAGTCGGAAAGATCTACGCACAGAAGCACATTTTATGTACCTGCTCCACCATGGAAAGAATAGGTTCGAGATCTTCGGATTCGGCCGACTGGAACCTGCCGACTTTAAATAGGTGTCATCCATTTCAACCATAGCCTTTATCAATAGGTGTGACTACTACGTTGAACTATAAGTTAGACATGAACCACAATAGATCCATCTGGAAGCCGATGATATCATCCTACTCAATTTTAACTTAACCTAATTAGATAGTATTATATTATCACTACAGATAGAGCTTTCGCGATGGTAAGAAAAAGTGCAGGAGTGATGGTTATATTAATACCAACAAAAAAACCTATGTGCTAAATCATTAAAATTTTAAATATTGTTTGTGTAAATTTTATAGTTTGAAACACCACCACTACCAGCAACTCCTGCAGGACTTAGATTTGGAAACAGAATTCCGAACTTCGCTGGCTCAATAAGGGCAAAATGTAGAAACGATTTTATAAATGAAGAAAATAAGTACAAATTTTCATGGAATTGGAGGGCAGACCCAAGCTGGTCCAACCTTTGAGAGATGAGCATGGTCATCCGATTTTGCATTTTTGGTTGTCACCCGTTACTTGAACAATCTAAATAGAAAGATTACGAAACAAGGAAAATTTGTGCATGAACTGTTCAACCGTATAAAGTTGTAACAATTTAGAATCCTAAAGGACCACCGCTTTTCACCAAATGTAACAACCAGGAAGCCTAAAAACCATTTGTAACTACTGATAGGTCTTTAGCTACTATTGTTAATATACTGTTAAGGGATTAAGGCACCACTGTCACCAGCCAAAGAGTCCTGGAGTCCAGAAGGAACATCCATTCACCAGTGGCAAATAAAAATAACAAAAAAAATTTAATTAAAAAACAAAAAGTATCCCTTAATAGCTTAATAGTTTTAGGCTTTTCTAGTCCTAAGGGAATAGAAACGCAGAAGCTTCTCAAATGCTCGGAATATCTCACTGGTTTTGGAAAGTATAAGTATTAAAAGATTAACAAATGTATATTCAAAAAAAGGACAAAATTTTACTAATAGTCTCAGGAATAAATAAGACCAATAAGCACTTAGCTTTGGTAACTTTTTTAGTCCCATCCATATAAGTGTAGAAAAAAGGTTTTTATTTCTTCTTTGTTTATACTGGTTTACTTATTTATTCTTGCCCTTGGGCCGTGTCCACCTTTAGTAATTTTTTGACGAGCGTATCTGTTGGTTTCTTCAACGATTAATTCCAAAATATCATCGTCCATGAAAAGTTGAAAAAATTTGGGAGGTTCTTTTATCAAACATTTCAAAATATTCATTTTTGAAACCTGAATCTTGAATATTACAGGGAATATTCTGTAACTTCTGGCCATCAACTTTTTTCAATGACAGTGGTTTGCCTTGGTCAGCACCCAACTCTTCTTCTGAAGAACTCTCCTCCTCCGCAATTTTATATTGCAATATAACGGCTTTAAATATGTCGTCTATTCTAGAACTCCCGTCCGTATTTTTTGAAGAAGAGGGCATATCTTTGTTGCTTGGGAATAATTTGGGTTTCCTTATTTGTGGAATATCACTTGACGAATCACTGGAACTGTCATCGTCACTTGAGGCTGTACAGTTTTTATCACGAACACAATCATCACTGTCTTCGTCCGATAGAAATTCCTCCATCAAATGTTCAAGACACACCCTTTCACTTTCGTACGACATTGTTTATGCTACAACAGTCGACTAGACACTGAAAAATTAACAACTGCGCAAGTGTACGGCATCGGAAAAGCTAAAACAAACGAGTCGCGACACGATTTTGTTTACGTGAGAAGCAAGTGTGCACCACACGGCCACGTGAAGTAGAAATTATTATTTGGGCCACGTGGTGGATACTTGCTTCTCAAAAGTAAAAATGCCAAAAAATTACTAAAAACCTAAAAATAGTGTAAAATTGGAAAAGAACGATTTAAAATGTTAAACAATACATTTTTTACTTATTTAGTAGTTTGGCTCATGGTGGCAGTTAACGTGTTAAAGATATTTACCTCTAGTACTGCACAAATCGCTGCACAAAACTTTACACATTACTTTGTTTCGGGACCTAGAGTCCCGATAAACGAGAGTTCTCACCTTCGGCGAGAGTTCTGGACCTCAGTCCTCACTCGAGTCTTTTCCTGTCTGTCTAGTAACTCTATTTAAATCCAAAATTTACGTGATAGTTGTTCTTGTTAGAATTCCGACGTTCTACCTTGAATTCTTTGGTTCAATGTAAGCAATTGACTGGAGTAATAACCTAATTATTTGTTTTATTTTCATACGTGTGTTTTCTTTTGAATTTTTAATTTAAAACATTGAAAATTATTATTATATTTTTCAATAATAATGTCAATTATTACAACGTTTTTCAAAGTATACTTCGGTTGTGAAAAAATAGGATTTTTATAGGTAATACTTATCTATTTCCCACTCTGCTAAAAGTACCACGGAACAGGAACATTCACCATGGAATTCTGAAATACAATCCCGGTGCTCTTAGAATTATTCGCTCGCCTAGCTCTCCTCTCTTACTAATCTTACTCTTTGTCAAAACTAGGTAAGAAAAGGCACTTTCGTTGGCCTCTTACGTATCCTATTCTACAACCGATATCCCACGGTAATACTGTTTGTTTCCGATAGATTAGTTTCCGGTGTTACTTCCCCGTACGAAGTCGATTAGGGAATTAAAAACCGAGGGAAAATGATTAGTTGAAATGCCCCGTGATCCCGACTATCCGCAAAGCCATATTTCTTGTCTTCCGTCTTCGGCAAGAAGTCAGTCCGTATGCGGAGCCAGCAAATGAATAATTGAAGAGATTGTGTTGCAGGCGATGTGAAAAACACAATAAGGAATGTAGAAAAATGAAATATTCAGATGATCCCAGCACGGCAATTGCGCCTTAGGCGATGCTAAATCAAATATTCAACACCTAGTTGCATTGCGCACCGCCTCCAGACTTATAAAAATGAATGGAGTCTCTCCACGCATACAGACTTTCGACTTCTCCTTACTCGCTTCCCGGTTCCTTGTTTTCGTTTTTTTTTTGTTTCGGGTTCGGTCGGGGGGAAATAGTTCCTCCGCGTCACATTCCGCGAAATGTAAACATGAAATTGTATCCGGGAATCCTTTTAAATGCAAAGCGTTTCTTTTTTTTTACGATTTCTTGTCGAATTTCTTCCTCTCGAATTAGGTAATATTCTTTTACGGTGCCTGGCGTTTTCCCACGACACACCGCTGGCTTTCGTTATAAATTCAATTATAGCTATACCGCGACGTCGGCAAATATGTACCTCGTCAATTTTTAAGTATCATAAATGTGACTGTAAAGTTTATATATTTAAGGATGATATTATGGAGATGTGGATGCTATTTTTGTTTAGTTTGGGTTTGTGAGCAGGGGCGCATATATGGGGGGGGGGGGGATAATCCCCCCTAAGAATGTTTAAACATAATTTTTTATAGATACTAAAAATGTATTGCACAAACTATTGAAAGATCAATTGCAGTATTTTTTGTTCAATCTGGTAGAAGCGCTATTTTACTTTCGTGGACTGTCTGCCACTCAAAGCGCTTAACTTAGATTCCCACTCTACGTTGTACGTGTTTGTATCTCAGAATCTCACTCTTTCTTCGACTAATACTGCTTATAGGAGGGTTTAAGCACAACTGATGCCATCACCACCTTAATTGATAAAATAAATAAGGCAATGGATAATACTAAACCGTCACTCTGCGTTTTTTTGGATCTTACTAAGGCCTTTGATACTGTGAGCCATCCACAATTGCTCCAATCTATCGAAGATACTGGGATACGCGGAGGCTCTCTAGACCTTATAAAAAACTACTTAACAAACAGAGAGCAGGTGGTAAAAATTAATGAACATTTTAGTGATACAAAAATAGTAAAATTCGGTGTACCACAAGGTACTGTACTTGGTCCACTTTTATTCTCAATATACTTAAACAATCTCTTTAAAATAAATACAGTAGGGAAAATTGTGAGCTTTGCAGACGATACAGCTGTATTCTATGAGGCAAACAGCTGGACCGAATTGAAAGAAATAGCAGAAAATGATATAAAAAATATAATTAACTGGTTTAAACATAAACTGCTTACAATAAATTATGAAAAAACTTATTTTGTTCCGTTTTGTAGCTACAAAAATTCACTTCCAACTTATAACGCATTACAAATAAACAATGTAACAAACAGTGAAGACATAAAAAAAGGGAACAAATAAAATATCTTGAAGTGAGTATTGACTGTCACTTAAGATGGGATATCCATATAAATAATACGGTAAATACTCTGAGAGCATTTTTATATAAATTCAAATATTTGAAAAAATTTATAGATAGTACCCACTTGCGCATAATTTATTTTAGTTTAGTAGAATCCCGAATACGATATGGTATAACATCGTGGGGTGCAGCAGATATGACCTATCTAAAAAAACTGGAAATAATACAAAAAAAATAATTAAAGTTATTTACAATAAAAAAAATACTTACCGATCAAATCCATTGTTCCAAGAAACACAATTACTGGATGTTAGACAAATTTTTATTTTTAATATCTTATTATATACAAAAAAAAATATAAATGTTTTAAAAGAGATACAACATAAATACATAACAAGAGCAAAAATTCAAAATAATGTACAAATTCATTTATCAAACAAATCTATTGGCCAGAAATCATTAAATTACCTTTGTAGTAAAGTTTTCAATTCACTACCTGATATATACAAAATTTATTTACGGACTATCAACTCAATACATTTGCTTAAAAAAATTTTCAAAAATTATTTAATAACATCAGATAGAGAACTTTTGCATATGCTAATCGAACATAAATAATAAAAAACTGAATCACTTGTATTTCCATGTGTATATATCTTTTATGTATTAAAATTTTCCCATATATATAATATTACTACTGTTTTGTGTTCCCTTTAATTTTAAATGTGTGTTAAATTAAACTAATTTTTATTATGTACTCAATTAATTTTTATCATAAAATTTTATTATATACTTATATATTCATATTACTTACTATCTATTTTATTTGTATAATGTTTATATGTTTTAATTGTTTAAATAAGCCGAATTTGTAAAAAGTATCCCATGCGCAACCTCTTAGAGGTCATCAATGGGTGTCTTTCTTACTTTATTCGTAATATTTCCAATTAATTAATTTATATTATATTGTTTTCTTTTGAATAAAGATTATTATTATTATTATATTATTTTGTTTTTATTTTTATTTCTACTGGAAGTACTGGATACTGGATCACCAAAGTGATAGTGATACACTGTGTTCATGTAAGGGTTTTACTTTACAGGTATTTATATGAAGTTTAGTAATTTAGATTTAAGTTTATGTGATTATAATATCTAAAATTTACCATTGTTGCAAATTATTTATGTTCTTGCACTTGCAGATACTAAACACAACAGAAATTAGCAATGAGTAAGAGAAAACAGAATACCTTAGATCAGCCATACTCAACCTGCGGCCCTCCAAGCTTTTTTGTGCGGCCCTCCAGGCTTTTTTGTGCAGCCCTCCAGGCTTTTTTGTGCAGCCCCAAACACTATTATTAGGAATTGAAATGGTTGATCTACAGTCCTATTTTGAAATAAATTTTCCTTGCGACTTTTCAAAGCTTATTAAAACAACTAAAACAACATGAGGACCTAAAACGGATCCGTATAGTCTTTATTTACATTTCAAAAAGGTGGCAACTCTAGTTATAACCCAAAAATAATGTGGCCCGTGTAGAATAACAAACAGATTTATGTGGCCCATGTAACATAACAAAAAGATTTATGTGGCCCGAAAGAAAAAAAGGTTGAATACAGCTGCCTTAGATAATTATTTGTTAAAACCAAAACAAAATAGGGGAATAATAACCTCGGAAGTCGTGAATGTATCACCAGACGGGGAATCCTCTGAGGAAGCGGGTTCGAATTCGAGTATGGGTAAACAAACCGCCGAAACTAGCGCCGGTAGCAGCAGTGCCACATTTAATATTTTACGTGGTTATAAAAAGTCGATAGACATTTGCTCTTTTGTCAATACATCTAAAATAATTACATTGCGGGAAAACTATTCGGTTTTAATGCACTCTATAGTTCCAGATCAAAATTTTACGTACCCGTTTTCAATTCACAGAAAAAATGATAAAGATATTAAAAGCTTTTTATCAAAACGACATTTTTACACTTTTTCTTGGCTAACATATTCGCAAGGTCTAGAGGGTATATTTTGTAAATTTTGCGTTATTTTTTCAAAAATGGGTGGTGTACATCAGTCAATTAAGTTGGGACGTCTTGTTACCACTCCACTAAATGTATTCCAAACTATTCGGAAAAGATGGTGATTTGATAATGCATGATAAATCGGTCTATCATAGTAAAGCTGTTATAGAGGGACATAATTTAATTAAAATTTATGAAAACCCAGAGATAGATGTAAGAAATACATTATATCAAGAAAGACAAAGGCAGATTTTTAAAAAAAAATTAGATTGAAACCCATTATCGAGTCAGTAATCTTCTTGGGACGACAAAATATTCCTTTTAGAGGTCATAGAGATCGAGGATCTCTTGTCGTTTCCGAAGGTTCTTCTGAAAATGAGGATAGTCTTGTAAATAATGAAGATAATTTTCGTGAATTAAT